TCGAGTAGCCTTTTGGAGCTCCGCCTCGAGCATCGTGTTCACAGTGGTCGGATCGACGCCGTTGAAGAACCCGAGGCGGCACAACACCTGGTACAGCTCCTGGACGTCGAGCGCGCCGGATCTGTCGACGTCTCCGCCCGTGAAGGCAGCTTTCGCTTGCTCGTAGTACGCGGAATACTGCGGCGTCGGCGCGACCGCGACCTGCGCGTGCGCGGGAGGAGAAGAGAGGACGAAATAATCGCGCGGTCAACGAGACGTCCGCGGGGACGCGGGGTCGGACGATCGCGCCTCGCGCGCGACGGCGCGACGCGTCCACCACACATCGCGCACCTGCGGCTGCGGCTGGGAGACGACCATGACTTTGGGGCCGGACGCCGCCGGCTTCGAAGACGCGCCGCAACCCATGTTCGGACGACGATTAATCACGCGCCCGCGCCCTTTCGCGTTCGACTTTCGGCTCCCGCTGACCATCGCAGGTCTCGTAGATCTCGGCCTCTTTGCGTCGTCAGCGTCACTCCGCCGCGCGCGATGGTCGCGAAGGACGCGAAGAAGCCAGGGAACAAACCCGGCGGGGGGTACATCAAGCCCAAGCCGAGGTCGAAGAAGAAGAAGCCGGCGGCGGCGGGAGACGCGGCGGTCGAGCCCGCCCCCGCGAAGCCGACGGAGACGGCCGAGGTGCGCGCCGTCGCGTCGCGGTGCCCTCCCTCCTCGCGAGCGAGAGACGATCGATTCTCGCGGTGCCGACGCCGTCGTCCCGTCCCTCCCCGTCCTCCATTCGCTGACGATCCGCCCCTCGCAGGAACGAAAGGAGCGCAAGCGCAAGGCGAAAGAGGAGCGCGCGGTGAAAGCCCTGCCGGTTCTCGACGACGGCGGCGAGCGCGTGTGTAAGATCTGCGCGCGGGTGCGTCCCGCCGCCGCGCCGCCGCGTTCGTTCGCTCGCGTCCGATTCGCGTCCGCGTCCCGCGTCCCACCCCGTCCGCTGACGCCGCGCCCCAATCCTCGTCCCGTCCCGTCCGCGCGCGCAGACCCTCGCGGTCGCGAGCTTCAGCGCGCAGCAGCTCAGGAAACCCAAGTCCGCGTGCGTGGCGTGCGCGTTCGCCAAGGCGTCCGAGGGGAAGGATCACACGCCGTCGTCCAAATCTCTGAAGGAGAAGCGCGCCGCGCTCAAGGCGCTGCGCGAGAAGAGGAAACGCAAGGAAGTGGAGGAGCCAGAGAAGAAGAGGGCGAAGGCGGCGAACGATAAGAAGGAGGAGGAGGAGGAGGAGGAGGAGGCTCTCCGCGTGCAGCCGAAGGCGGCGAACGAGGAGGAGGAGGAGGAGGAGGAGGCGGCGGCGGCGAAAAAACTGAAGAGAGAAGACGCAGCCGCCGCGGCGACGACGACGACGGCGGACGATGGCTTCGTCGCCGCGGAGCGGTACGACCCCAACGCGGCGTCTGACAGCGGCGGGGACGACGGCGACGACGCCGCGGCGGAGGAGAAGGTGAAGGAGGAGGAGGACGTCTCGGACGAAGAGAAGGAACTGAGAGCCCGGCAGGTGTACGTCGGGGGAGTGCCGTTCTATAAGACCGAGGACGAGATACGCGCCGCGTTCGACGACGAGGGTTTGCCCACGGAAGCGATCGACTGCATGACGTTCCCGGACAGTGGGCGGTTCCGCGGGATCGCGATCATCACGTTCGCGACGAGAGAGGCCGCGAAAGGCGCGCTCGCGTGGAACGGAGAGATGTGGGACGAAAAGTTTCTCACGGTGAAAAAATACGCGCCTAAAAACGCTCCGCCGAAGGACGTTCCGGACCCGAGCGCGCCGCCCGCGGAGCCGAGGCCGGAGGTGGAGAAGACCGAAGGCCAGCTCGTCGCGTTCATCGCGAACTTAGCCTGGGACACGACGGAGGAGACGCTCAAGAACGCGCTCGTCGGATGCGAGATCAAAGAAATCCGGATGGGGACGGACAAAGAGACGGGGGCTTTCAAAGGGTTCGCGCACGCGGAGTTCGTCGGGGACGACGACTTAGAGAACGCGGTCGCGCTGAGCGGGACGACGCTGTGCGGACGCGAGATGAAGATCACGTACGCGACGAAGAGGAAGAAGTCGTGGGAGGAGAGAGAGAAGGAGCGCGAAGCGAACGGCGGCGGGCGCGGAGGACGAGGACGCGACGGATCCACGCGCGGGAAGAACGGGCGCCGCGTCGGCGGACGCCGCGGGCCTCCGAAGAAACGAGACAAGTTGGCGGGCCCGCGAAAGGCGTGACGTCGTCGTCGTCGTCGTCGTCGTCGTCGTCGTCGTCTCTACTAAACAACACTGCTAGGTTAAGATTAGTCTACCGCGCGCGCGTCCGCTCCCTCGGCGACGCGGAGCATCTCGTCGAGATCCACAAACTTTTCCCGCGGCTTCCCCGCCATCCGTCCAATCTCTCGCTCCGCCGCGTCGATCCTCGCCCATCCTTCCTTGCTCACGACCTTCACCCCGCGCCGCCTCAGGACCTCACTCAGGCTCAGCGCGACGTCGTCGTCTTCCTCCTCCTCGCAAACCTCGCAAACCTCGCGCAGCCGCCCGCGTTCGTCGTCGTGAATCAGCGCCCCCACGGTTTCCTCCGCGCATCGTAAGTTGGTCCCGATGATCCCCGTGGGACCGCGTTTGATCCACCCGGCGGCGTACAGCCCCCGCACGATCTCGCCGCCGCGCTCGGTCAGCACGCGCCCGTGCGCGTTCGGGACGACGCCGTTCTCGTCGTCGAACGGCACGTCCTCGTCGACGCGGATCCCTTTATACCCTACGGATCGCAACACGAGCGAGACGTCGCGCAACACCTCGGGCTCCGCGACGGACGCGTCCGGCACCGCGCGACGAGATCCGGACGCGCCCTCGAGCGCGTTCGCTCGAAGCGTCACCCTGACGCTCGGCGTCGACGGCGACATCGGGGGGGTCCCGTCTGGGTCCCCCGTCTCGCTCTCGAACCGCGTCGGACTGCGAAGAAACTTGATCACGAGCTCCTTCGTCGGCCGGTCCGACGTCGCGTCCGCCGCCGCCGTATTCGCCGCCGCCTTCGCGACGGCTTCGCGCGCGCGTCGCCTCGGCCGCGACGCGTCCAGGTCCTTCGCGTCCTCCTCGTCCAAGCCCTCCACGTGCCCCGGAGGCTCCACGCGCACGCGGACGTTCGGCAGGCTCAGCAGCTCGCGGAGCTCTTTCGGCGAGAACGCCGCCTGCGCGACGCCTCTCCGTCCGATCATCACGACGCGCTCGACGCCGCTGCCTCTGAGGGTCGTTCCATACAAAAAAAGTTCACCGGTCAGTTGAAAGGGGGAGCGATCAAGTGTTGAAATCGAGCGATGGGTGAAGAACTTTTGTATAGAACGCGCCTGAACGCGCCCAACGCTTCGCCGGCGACGTCCGTCGACGCGAGGTCGTCCGCGTCCCTCAGCAGCATCCGCGCGCAGTCCAGCGCGACGTTCCCGAGCCCGAAGACGCACGCGGTGTGCCCCAACACGATCCTCGCGCCGACCGGGTCCCTCCCCGTCGCGCCGAGCGTCGCCGCGCACCTCGCGTCGCCGTTGTACCAGCCGACGAATTCTCTCGCGCCGTACACGCCGGGCATCGTCTCCTCCCCGGGGACGCCCAACCGTTTGTCGCCGTCCGCGCCGTGCGCGAGGATTATCGCGTGGTACCGTGCTCGTAGGTCTCTCAGCGCGACGTCGGAGCCGAGCGCGACGTTGCCGTGGAACGCGACGCGCGCGTCCGCGAGGATCCCGTCGAATCGATTCGTCACCGATTTGGTCGACGCGTGATCGGGCGCGACGCCGCTTCGCACGAGCCCGAACGGCGTCGCGTCGCGCTCGACGACGTCGACGGTGACGCGATCGCCGTAGTGCGAGAGGAGGAACGACGTCGCGTACATCCCCGCGGGGCCGCTGCCGACGACGCAGAACCTTCGCGAGGGGCCTTTCGGCAGCCCCGGACGCGCGTCGACGTCGTCGTTCTCGTCGTTCTCGTCTTCATCGCGCGGCGCGTCCGAGGACGACGCGGCGAACCCGCGCGCGGTCGTCGTCGTCGCCGCCGCCGTCGTCGTCGTCGTCGTCGTCCGCGGGCGCCGCGACGACGCGACGGGCTCCGCGACGCGTCGCGCGCGCGTCGATGACGCGCGCGGGATCCCCCGGCGCAGCAGCGCGGCGACCGCCCGCGCGGCTCGCGTCGCCATCGCGCGTCGTCGACTGCGGTCGCGCTCGGCACCGCGGTCGGCGACGCGGATGATCTGTCTGCTGACGGCCGTCGGTCAGTTGGGAGAAGTGCGGGTCAAATTGACCGCTGGATCGATCGGGGAGTGGTTTGAAACTCATCGGCACGCGCTCGGCGCTGCTGACGCGATGATCTCCGAGAAAGCGCGGCCGAGGGTTACCCGAACAACATCACCGCGAAGACGCGTCGCGCGACTACTCATCCGGCGCGCCGCGGACGCACCCGCGCGCGTTCGTCGCCCCGTCGCGTCGCGCGTCGCTTCCTCGCGAGCTCGCGAGAGGCGACCGCGCGCTCGCGGCGCGCGCGCGACCGCGTCGAGCGCGCCCTCGGCCGCGTCGAACGCCCGCGGCGCCGCCCATTTGTTGCATCTCGCGCGGCGGCAGCGGCGGAAGCTCTCGACTACGAGTAGCGCGTAAAAATCGCAGCACTCTGCGCGCGTCGTCGCGTCGACGTTCGGAGGAAGGGCGAGATGCCGACGACGTTCACGACGTTCCCGTGGCACCACCGCCGTCTCCTGTCCGGGGAGACGGCGACCGCGGACGAGTCCACGGACACGGGCTACTACGTGCTCTACTTCCTCTTCGTCTCCCTCGTCGCCGGCGCCATCGCGCGCGGCGCGGTGCGAGGCACGCGCCTGCCGTACACCGTCTCGCTGCTCTTCATCGGCCTCTGCATCGGCTTCGTGCACAACTACGCGGACCTCGGCGTGCTGTCCAAGTCCATAGACGTCTGGGTGAACATCGGCCCGCACACGATGCTGTCGGTGTTCCTCCCCGCGCTCGTCTTCGAGTCAGGCGCGTCCCATACACTGGTCCCCATACGACCGCGTTCGCGTGGTGAACGCCGATCCTTAAGGACTCTGCCCGGCGCATCTCTCCGCCCAGGGTCCCTCGCTTTCAATCCCCGCCCTCGACGCCTTTGAACTCCGCTTCTGACGCCTATGAACTCCACCCCGACGTCGCTTTGTATGGACCCTCGACCCTCAGCGTTTTCGCTCGAGTGGCACACGTTTCGACGGTGCGCGTCGCAGGTGCTTTGGCTCGCCGGCCCCGGCGTGCTCTTCGGGACGCTGCTCTTGGGGAGCATCTTCAAGGGGATACTCCCGTACGGCTGGGGCTGGGGCGCGTCGCTGATGCTGGGAAGCATCCTGAGCGCGACGGACCCCGTGGCTGTGGTCGCTTTGCTCAAAGAAGTCGGCGCGTCGAAACGGTTGGGGCACATCATCGAGGGCGAGTCGCTCGTGAACGACGGCACCGCGATCGTCGTCTTCTCGCTGCTCAACGAGATCGCGAAAGGGAACGACAAGACGCCGCTGCAGATCTTCGCGTTCTTCATGTGGGTGCCTTTCGGCGCCGGGGTCGTGGGGCTGTGCATCGCGCTCGGATGCCACGCGTGGTTGGGCCTCGGCGCCGTCGCCGGCGATCACATCGTGCAGATCTCCGTCACCGTGTTCGCGTGTTACCTGTGCTTTCTCGTCGCGGAGTTTCAGGCGGAAGCGTCCGGGGTGCTCGCGGTCGTGATCCTGGGCGTGTGCATCGGCGCGTTTGGACGCGGGTTTTTCACCGGCGAGACGGAGCACAGCTTGCATCACTTTTGGGAGATGCTGACGTTCATCGCCAACACGGTGTTGTTTATCCTCACCGGGGTCATCATCGCCGAGACGACGGTGTCTTCGAGCACGTCTGGGGAGCTCAGCGGGAGCGACATCGGGTGGGGACTGCTCGTGTACGTCATCGTCGTCCTCGCGCGCGCGATTTTACTGACGGTGTTATTCCCCATCCTGCGTCGGTGCGGGTACGGACTCACCGTCCAGGACGCCGCGGTGTGCGTCTGGGGGGGACTCCGCGGCGCCGTCGGGCTCGCGCTCGCGCTCGTCGTCAGCGAGGAGAGCTCGCACTACACGGACAATAAAGTCGGTCCGATCGTGTTGCTGTTCACCGGCATCGTCGTCGTGTTGACGCTCACGGTGAACGGGACGACGACGTCGATGGTGCTTCAGCGGTTAGGGCTGACGCGGCCGGAGGTGAGCGTGCAAGTCGCGGTGCGAAAGGCGAGGAAACACATCCGAGATCAGTGCCTGGCGGTGTATTACGAGCATCTCACGACGAGCGACGACGTCATGGGGACCGCGGACTTCAGGGCGGTTTCCGATCTCGTGCCGTTCATGGTAGAGGATAAGGACGACGACGACGACAAGGACGCCGGCGCGCACCTGATCACGAAGCGAGAGAAGGGAGGGTCGATGGATAAGAGGAAATCGATGGAAAAGAAGAAATCGCCGCGTCGGAGCAAAGAGAATGGGGACGAGGAAGCGAAAGACCTCGCCGCGGCGCTGAGCGCCGGTCTCGCCGGGCTCGGCGCCGCGGGCGCGGCGAGCGAGGACGAGAAAGCGGCGAAGAAGCCGAGCGGGATGCGTCGGATGGGGACCAAGTCGAAAGAGAAGCGCACGTCCTTGGACTCCGCGGTGGCGTCCATGGAGTCTGGCGGCGTCGGGTCGTCGTCGTCGTTCGATAAGAAGAAAGCCAGCGGTCTGATGACGCCGGCGCCGTCGATCATGAACCTCGCCGCGATGGGCGCAGACGCGGAGGCGGCAGAGGAAGGAGGGATGGACGCGCGAGAGGCGGCGACGATGGCGACGACGAGAGCGAACACGATCATCAACCACAAGAACGTCTTGGGCGTGACCGGCGGCGAGAAAATCGACCTCGCGGAGGCGGTGTCGATCAAGATCAACGAAGAAATCGAGAACGCGATATCGGTGTGGCAAAGAGACGTCCGCGGGCGGTTCTTGGCGCACCTGAAAGTTTTGTACTGGGAAGCGCTCGAGAACGGCAGGGCGACGAAAGAAATCGTGGACACGCTCGTGGAGTGCACGGACATCGCGCTGGATAACCTCGACGCGCCGCTCGGCGATTTCAAAGCCCTGGAGCGGATGATGTTGAAGAAAGCGGCGACGTCGCGGCCGCTGTGGAAGCGCTGCGTCGGAAAGTTACCCGACCGCGTCAGGAAAGGGATCAAGTGGGTGCGGCAGTGGGTGTTTCACAGCGGGTCGATGCCCGGGGGAGGGTCGCGACGCCGCGCGCTCGTCGCCGTCGCGTTGCTCCACGACGCGCACGAAGAAGCGTGTCACGCCATCTTCGGGCACGACAACGTGCACGGGCGCGACCACAAAACCGCCGGCGCCGGCGGCTTCGCGACGTCGGACTCGTTGAAGCGCAAGGACTCGAAAGACTCGCGCGCCTCCAAAGACGCCGCGCCGCCGCCGTCGCTGCGGCGCCTCGACACCGATCTCAGAGAGGCCGCGACGCTGGAGGAGACCCACAATGGTCTGTACGAGCCCACCTTGGAATACGCGGAGGGCGACGCGTCGACGCGCGACCCGAGCGCGATCGCCGCGAAGCGCGTCCACGGCGAGAGCCGAGAGGCCCGGAACGCCGCGCGCGCGTACCTCCGCGCGGCGAGGATAAACGAGCCCGAGCTCGCGACCGCGGTGAAATCCGAGGAGACCGCGCGGCGGTTGCTCGCCGTCGCGGAACGATCCGCGCGCGGGTACGTCCAGAGCGGTCTCCTCACCGCGGTGGAGGCGGAGGAGCTCCTCGCGGGGATCTCGCGCGCGCAGCGCAGGCTGCGGCTGGACCCGCCCGAGCCGATCGTCCGCACGCCCGCGGAGTTTATGCGCCAGCTCCCTCTTCTCGACCCGACGCACGCCGCGCGCGTGTCCCCGAACGCGATCGCGTCGAAGCTCGTGAGGTGCGTTCTATCTCACACTGGTTCCCATACGACCGCGTCGGCGTGGTGAACGCCAATCCTTAAGGACTTTGCCCGGCGATTCTCTCCGCCCACCCCTTGGTTTCAATCCCCGACCGCGACGCCTTTCAACTCCAACTGACGCCTTTTAACTCCACCCCTAACCAGCCTCGCGCCGTCGGTGATGGCTCGACGCTTCCCCGGCGACGCCGTCGCGACGCCGGAGCCCGGCGCGCTGATGCTCCTCGCGCGCGGCGTCATCGACGTCAGATGGGCGCGGCCGTTCGGCGACGGCGGCGGCGGCTTCGACGCGTCCGTCGCGCCGCTTCGCGTCGGCGCGTCGAGCACCACGTACGGGTGGGCGCTCGGCGCGGCGGATCTGCTCGTCCCGGGCGCCGCGCGGTTCGACATGCGCGCGGTGAGCGCGGCGAAGGCGTTCATCGTTCCCCCGGACGTCGTGCGAGAGATCTTAGCGCACGCGCCGAGCGCGGCGGCGCTGTGGCGCGCGGCGTTCGGCCTCCTCGCCGCGACGCTGCTGCGTGACGACCTCTCCACCGTCCCCGCCGCCGTGCTTCGACGCGCGCAGACCTCCGCGGCGAAGATTTCGTATCACCCGAGAGGCTCAGCGGTGGGTCCGTTTCCGTCGCGGCGCGAGCCGGGGAAGTACCCCGCGACGGAGCTCGTGGTGCTGCTGAAGGGCTCCCTCGACGTCCCGTCGGAGGGGACGCTGGAGGGCCCGTGCGTGATCGTCCCCGGCGGGTACGTCGCGCTGAGCGACGACCAGGCGGAGAAGTTCGGGAAGCTCGCGCAGCGGATGGGCATGTCTAGCGTCGGCGCGACCACCCTCACGCCGGAGAAGGACTCGAGCTTTCACGTCGGCGGGGACTCCATGCTCACGGACGCGGGCGCGATGTCCGTGGAGGAGGACGCGACGATGTTGCGGTGTTCGTTCGGGAAGGGGGGCGCCGCCGCCGCGGAGGCGACGGCCGCGGAGGAGCGACGCGCGGAGCGGCGCCTCAACCTGAACCTAAACCTGTCCGGGTCGAAGAAGAGCGCGCTGTCGCGGTCCGAGACGGAGAAATCGTCGAGCGGCGACGCCGAAGATCGTCTGAAGGATATGTTCTCGCGCACGAGCGACGACGAGCCGGTGCCGAACCGCCGGACGTCGATCCAGGTCGGGGACCTGCAGCGCGCGAAGATTCGGAACAGCTTGTTCGGCGTCGAAGGGATCCCGGAGCGGTCGCACTACTCCCCGCCGACGAGTTCGCGGACGGGGATGTCGCTGTCCCCGACGGCGTCCATGGACCACGCGACGCGGCATCAGCTCGGCGCGATCGTGCAGCCCGGGACGCGACGGCGGCTGTCGCTGGACGTTCGCGATTACGATTTCGCGCTCGCCGCGGCGTCGGTGTCCGGCGCCGCGCTCGCCGCGCGCGAGGGCGACGTGCCGCCGCACGCGCAGACGATGCGAACGACGTACCCCGCGGATCGAAGAGGGTCGATAGAAGACGCGAGCAGTCTGTTCAGGCGCGTTCTATACACTGGTTCCCATACGACCGCGTCGGCGTGGTGAACGCCGTTTCTTAAGGACTTTTCCCGTCGTGTCTCTCCGCCCACCCCCCGGTTTCAATCCCCGCCATCGACGTCTTTCAACTCCGCTTCTGACGCCTTTCAACTCCACCCCGACGTTCGCTCGTATGGAACGGCCCTCAGGACGACGCCGTCGCCGCCGCGGAAGCCGGGGCCGGAGGCGGAGTTGGAGAGGAGGAACACGCACGGGGCGGCGAAGATCTCGAAGGATCTCGGGGGACTGTACCGCGTCTCTTCGGGCGGCGGCGGCGGAGGAGGAGGAGGCGACGACGATCACGAAGCGACGCAGCAGACGTACCCGCCGCGAAGCGGCTCGTGGAGGGATCTCCAAGGCGCGGGCGGCGGCGACGACGACGACGACGACGAGGGTTCGCACCGCGCGGGAGACAACGGGCTGACGCACCCGCCGCGGAGCGGCTAGATAGAACGAGTGGTGACGAAATGAACGCGTCGCGAAGGAAGTTCTGTAGCTCACCGCGCGCAGAGCGCGGTTATCTTCGGTTGGACGTCCGCCTCCACGCGCACCTCGACGACGACTTCGTCCTCTTCGTCCTCGGCGTCCTCTTCTTCCTCGTCGTCCTCCCGCGCCTCTTCCTCTTCCTCATCCGTCTCCGCCGCCGACGCTTCCGTCTCGCCACTCCCTCCTTTCGCGTCCGCGCGCGCCCTACTAAAGCGCATCGCCGCGCGCAGCGCCCCTCGCAACCGTCTCTCCCGGTCGCGAAACCCCGACAGCGTCACCGCGTCGACGTCCGCTCGGATGGCGACTTTTCTGCGTTCGCGCGCCGCCGCGTCGTCGCCGCGTTCGACGCGTCGTCTCAGCGCGGCGATCTCCTCGTCCTTGCTCGCGATCGCGACGCGACACCGCGCGAGCTTGGACTCCCACTCGGACGCGCGGCCGCGGAGCTTGACGACCTCCGCGAGCGCGACGTCGCCGCGGCGTCGGTGCGCGCGAACGACGGCTTCGTACAGCCGCCGCTCGTCGCTCTTAGGGTCGTTCCATACGAGCGAACGTCGGGGTGGAGTTGAAAGGCGTCAGTTGGAGTTGAAAGGCGCCGAGGGTGGGGATTGAAAGCGACGGGTGGGCGGAGAGAGACGACGGCAAAAGCCCTTAAGGATCGGCGTTCACCACGCCGACGCGGTCGTATGGGAACCAGTGTATAGAACGCGCCTTATTCCCTGCGATTTCGTCTTCGATTTCGTTTTCGTTTTCGTTTTCGTTTTCATCGGCGGCGACGTCGCCATCTCCCTCCTCCTCCTCCGCCTCGCCTCCGCCCTTCGCCTTCTTCAGCTCTCTCCTCTCGTCTTCGCGAATAGACGCGAGGCAGAACTCGACCTGCTCCTCCAAGGTGCGACATCGACGCGTCAGCGCGCGGTTTTCTTCCTCCGCTCGTTTCATCTTCACCGCGAATGCGCGCGTCGTCGCCTTCGCGTCGTTCTCTCCCCGCCTCGCTTCCGCGACCGCCTCGTTCGCCGCCTCCGCGACCCTTCGCTCGTCCAACGACGCGGCGTCGAGCAGCTGCCGCATCAGCGACTCGTGGTCGCGTCGCATGTCCTCCGCGACTCTCTCTCGCGCGGCGAGTTTTTCCGCCGTCGCCGCCGCCGCCGCGTCGGTTTTTTCTCGCCGCGCCTTCGCCGCCGCCAGCCGCGCGCGTAACGCCTTCCTCTCTTCCGTTACCTTCACGAGCGCCTCCTCGGTCTCGCGCAATCGCGTCGCGAGCCGCGTCTCCGCGCGCGCGTGCGACCGCGCGGCGTCCTCCGACCGCGCGATCACGGTGTGCTCTCGTCGTTTCGCCAGCCGAGCCGCGCGCGTCGCGTCGAGAAGCGCGGGCTCGAGCGCGCCGACCACCCCGCGCAGTCGCCGCGTCTCGCGCGTCTCGCGCGTCTCGCCGTCGTCGTCTCGCCGCCGCGAATTCGCGAAGCCGCGCGTCTCGTCGTCGTCGTCGTCGGAACGCCGCAGCGCGTTGTCGAGCGCGTCCGCGCCGAGCGCCGCGCGCTCGCGCGCGCGGACGGCGATCTCGCGCGCGTCCAGCGCGCGGCGTCGATCGTCGAGCTCTCTCGCGACGCGCGTCAGCTCCGTCGTTCGAAGCGACGGGAGGCCGTTCGCGCCGAGGCCGCGGCCGATCGGGACGCGCGCGAAATGCGCGCTGGATCGCGTCGTCGGGTTGCCGCCGGGGGCGGCGATCGACGGCGGGCGGCGGGACGCGAGCGTCATGCCGCCGCCGCCGATGTTGGACCGCGTCGCGTCGTCGTCGTCGTCGTCGTCCCCTTTTGAGATGATGATGTGAGATTCCGTTATGGGACGCGCCGAGAGACGCGTCGCGCGCGGCCGCGGCGTCGCGCGTCGGGATCCGACGCGCGCGCGGCGACGCCGGGGGTCTCCGCGAGGGCGCGAAAGTCCGCGCGCGCGACGACGCGACGGCGCGCGCGACCGTCGCGGCGCGACGCGGAGTGATCGACGCGGTGATCCCGCCCGTCGAGGAACTCGAACCGTCGCGTCGTCGTCCGCGGCGGGGGGGGGCCCGGCCCTCGAAAAGTTTTAGGGCGCGGGCGCGGAGTGTGATGCCCCCCCCACACCCCCCGGCGCGCGTCCGGGAGGGAAGACGCGCGCGCGGCGGCGCCGTCATGGCGGACGCGCTCCTCGGCAAGTACCGCTCGCTGTACGCGAAAGCGCGCGTCGTCTTAGAGCGCTGGTCCGCCGCGCAGACGCGCGCGACGAACCTCGTCGACTCGGTCGCGAGCATCTACGAGCGTCTCGCGCACCTCTCCGAGACGTCGCGGTACGGCCCGCTGGCGGACTCCTTCCCGGACCTCCCCGCGCGGACGCGCGACGCGCAGTACGCCGCGCTCGACCGCGTGCTCGCGGCGCTCGAGGACGAGCTCGAGCTCTTCGACGACCTCGCGAATCTGCTCGACAAGATCCAGCGCGACGGCTCCGCGCTCGTGCGCGCGCTGCGTCCGCCGCCGCCGTTCGCGGGCGCGCTCCGACGCGCGCACCAGCCCTCGCTCGCGGAGTGCGCGCTCGGCTTGGAGGACGTGTGGCGCGCGTATCACGACGAGGCGACGCTCAAGCGCGTGGTGTGCGACGAGCTCGTCGTGGACGCGTCCGTGGAGGACGTGAAGACGATGGCCAAGCTGTTCGCCGCCGAGGCCAACGTGGACAAAGAGTTCATTCGGATGACGCTGGATCGCGTCCCGGCGCAGAGCACGTCCGCGATGAACGAGGGGCGGCGCGGGGGGGGAGGACGGGGGGGCGCGGGTGGGAGCCCGCGAACGCGGGGGGTCGGGTAGTCGGGTAGCGGTATGTAGCTCGGGCTTGGAAAAAAATTCTAATAACGAATAGCGTCTAAAACCGTGTGTTATCCCGTCGGTCGTCACAGCGTCGGAGGCAGCGCGAAGTCGCTCACCGCGCCCATCGCGAACCGGAACCACGCGGCGACGTACCTCTCCGCGGCCGCGTCGCCGCGCGTCGCCTCGCCGCCGTCGCCGCCGCCCGCAGACGTCGCCGCCGACGACGACAGCAGCAGCCGCATCGCCGCCGCCGTCTCGCACGGATGCACGCCGACCCAGCACCCCGCCGCGCCGTGCGGATGGTCGCACGGCGCGAACGCGGCGAGGTCCCCCGCCGACCCGAGTCCGACCAGCGCGGCGTCCGCGCCCGCGCCGCCTTCGCGCGCGGCTCGCAGGAGCGACGACGTCAGCCGGGAGTGGCTCAGCGCGTCGCGCGGCGGCGACGCGCGCGACGCGGCGACGAGAAGCACGGGCACCTCGTACGCGGCGCTGTACGTCACGTGATAGGTCCGCAGGTGCGCGCCTGATGACGTGGACGAATGAACGCACGCCACGTCATCATCGAAGATGCCAGCATCGTCCTCGACCTCGACCTCGACCTCGCGCGCGTCGTCGTCGTCTTCGTCTTCGTCTTCGTCCGCGCGTCTTCGGCTCGCGAGGTGCCCTTCGACGGCGAGGTGCCCGCGCGCGGCGGCGGCGGCGCGCGTCGCGTCCGTCTCGCGCACCCACCGCGCGGTGATCCCCTCCAGCGTCGGGGTCCCGCGCGCGAGCGCGTTCCACCGCGCGGCGAGCGCGACGGCGCCGGTCTCGAACGCGCTCGCGCTGATCGTCCCGGGAGGCGCGCCTGCGGGCGCCGTCGAGGGCGCTCGTCTCATCATTCGACCAGTCGTCAGGGCCGTTCTATACAAGCGAACGTCGGGGTGGAGTTGAAAGGCGTCAGTTGAAGTTGAAAGGCGCCGAGGGCGGGGATTGAAAGCGAGGTATGGGCGCAGAGACACGACGGGAAAAGTCCTTAAGGATCGGCGTTCACCACGCCGACGGGGTCGTATGGGGACCAGTGTATAGAACGCACCTCAGTCTCGCGAATCCGTCACCGCCGCCCGCCGCTCTTCACGCACAGCTTCGCGCGCTGCAACAGCGCCGCCTTCCCCGCGGCGTCGATCCCGCCGCCGCTCCGCCCTTTCTTCGCGAGGAACTCGCGCAGCTCCTCGACGGAGAGGGTCTCCAACCGCGCGACCTCGGCGACGGCGGCGGCGTCCGCGCCGCCCGTCGCCGGTCGTTTGGACGCGCGCTCGAGCCCGGTCGAACCCCCGGACCTGCCGAGTCCGCCGCCGCCGCCGCCGCCGCCGCTCCCGCCGCTCCCGCCGCTCGAGCGCTCTAACCCGCTCGGCGCCGGCCTCTTCCCGATCGCCGCCGCCGCGGACGCGCCGCCCTCCGCGGGTCGCGCCGCCGCCGCCGCCGCCGCCGCCGCCGCCGCGACGCCCCCCGGTCGCGACGGGTGCGATCCCGGTCCCCCGGTCGCCCCGGATCCGCTCGCGGCGCGTCCCGCGAGCTCGTCCTTGTTTCGCTTCAACACGAGCGCGCGGATCAAGATGTTGGTCTTGTCCGTGGTGATGTACTGATGCGCCGGCGGCGCGCTGTTGTGGTCGCACACGTACCGGCGCGGCTGCGTTCGCGACGGGTCCCGGGTGTGATCTCTCGGGTCGTGCGCGCTCGGACGATGGTGCGACGCGGAGGGCGACGGCGACGGCGGCGGGGACGACTGAGACGCGACGCCGGCTCTGCTCATAAACCCGCCCGTGGACGGCAGGTTATCGAGCGACGCGAGGTTCATCCTCCGTCCGTCCGCGCTCCGAGATCTGAGGACGGGCGCGAGGACGACGACCTCGGAATATTCAAACGCGCGAGAACAGCAGCACTACTCGTACAGTAGACGGAAGAAAAAAGCCGCGGACTCGAGCGAGAAGCCGAGGCGTGAACTAGACTAGATGACGACGTCATCACGTTCGAACGACGACGAGCGTCGCGACGCGCGCGGCCGCCCCACCTAATCGATCTACTCCGCTAAAGCTAACGATATCCGCCCGCGCGCGAGGTCCAAACCCGTGACCTTCACCCGCACGGACTGCCCCGCTCGGAACACGTCGTGCGGCTCCGGACGTCCCCTCCCGCCCCCGCCCCCGCCCGCGCCCGCCGATCCCGCTCCCAGCGTCGACCGGTGCACGAGCCCGGAGTCGCCGACGCCGACGTCCACGAACGCGCCGAACGGGACGACGTTACGAACCACCCCGTCCAGCACGTCGCCGACGCCCAAGTCCTTCGCCGTCGCCGCGTGCGTTCGCAGCAGCGACGCGCGGTCCGCGCCGCGTCGATCGTCCGCGCCGGGCTTCGCCGCGAGCGACGCGAGGACGCCACGCAGCGCGAGCGGGTGCGCGTCGAGGGACGTCGCGAGCGCGTCGACGCGCGGCGAGCGCGCGGGGGTCAGGAGCCGCGCGAGGATGGGGCGCGCGCGCGCCAGCGTCTCCGTCGTCGTCGTCGTCGTCGTCGACGACGACGACGACGCCGTCGCGCCGCCGCTCGAGGCGCGTTTCCGTTTTGTACCGCCGCTCGTCGTCGTCGTCGTCGTCTTCGTCGTCGTCGTCGTCGTCGTCGTCGTCGTCGTCGTCGTCGTTCCCACGTACACGACGTCGCCGTCGCCGTCGCTGTCGCTGTCGTCGATTTCGACCACGTCCACGTCATCCTCCCCGCAGCCGAAGGCGTCTTCGACGAACCCGTCGCTCAGAATTTCTCGAAGCGCCGCGCGCGCGAGGTCGTAACTCTCCGGATGCACCGAGGTCATCTCCAACGCGTCCGCCGCGCCGTCAACCCTCAAGAACCCGGCGCACTGCGTGAACGTCTTCGCGCCCAACCCTCTCACGCGCAACAACCCGGCGCGGTCCGCGAACGCGCCGTTCGCGTCGCGGTGACTCGCGATCTTCCCAGCGATGGACTTGGACAGCCCCGGAACGCGCGCGAGGAGCGACGCGGACGCCGTGTTCACGTTGACCCCCGCCTCCGCCACCGCCGACTCCACCACCGCGCTGAGCTCGCCCGCGAGCTCAGCCTCCTTCACGTCGTGCTGGTACAGACCCACGCCCAAGGACTGCGGGTCGATCTTCACGAGCTCCGAGAGCGGGTCCTGAAGCCGCCGAGCGATGGACACCGCGCCGCGCGACGAAACGTCGAGCGACGGCAGCTCCTCGACGGCGAGCGGCGACGCGCTGTAGACGCTCGCGCCGGCTTCGCTGACGACTCTCCACCCGACGGCGTCGCCGAGATTGGCGTCCGCGACGAGTTTCTCCGCCTCGCGCGTGCCCTGCCCGTCGCCGATGGCGATCGCTGTGGCGCCATGCGCCTCGACGAAGGCTCTCAACGCCGCCGGCGCCGGGGTTCCCGGGGTTCGCGCCCCCCGGGGTTCGAACCCCGGGAGATACACGACGCCGGTCGCGACGACCGCGCCGGTCGCGTCCACGGCCGCGAGCTTACACCCGGTCCTAAACGCGGGGTCCACGCCGACGACGACGGACGCCGGGCGCATCGGCGGATGCAGCAGCAACGCGCGGAGGTTCGCGCCAAAGTCTCGCACCGCGCGTCGCAGCGCTCTCTCGCGGAGCTCCCCTCTCGCCCACCGCTCGATGGACGGCCGCAGCAGCCGATGCACGCCGTCGTCGATCGCGCGCTCGACGATCGCTCTTTGGTCGCGAGGGAGTCGATCGAACGACGGCGCGACGGACGCCCTCGCCGCGCGCGACGGCGAATTCGGCGGAGACGCTTTCCCCCAATCGAACGACACGCGCGCGACGCCCGCAGCCTCCGCGCGAGTGATCGCCAACACCTGGTGCTCGGGAACGGCGCACACCGCGCGTTCGGTGCCGAAGTAATCCCTCGTCTGCTCCCTCACGCGCTTCGCCGCTTTCGTCGTCTCCTTCTCCTTCTCCTTCTTTTCCGTCACGACCAGTTTCCCGCGACGCCACAACGCCTTCCTCGCGCTCTCCCTCGCCTCCACGCACGACGCCGCCGCCTCGGCGATGATATCGCTCGCGCCCGCGATCGCGTCCTCGACCGTCTTGACGTCGTCGCTCAGAAACGCCCGCGCGCGAGCGGCGATCGACGACGCGCCGGCGCTCTCTTCGCCGTCCAAAATCGCCGCCGCCAGCGGCGCGAGCCCGCGCGCCGTCGCCGTCGCCGCCCTCGACGCCGCCGCCTTTGGCTTGTGCGGCGCGTACGCGTCCTCGAGCGCGTGTGACGTCTCCGCGCCGCGCACCGCGTCCTCGAGCTCGCGCGGGATTTGCCCGGGACCGAATCGTTTCAGTAGCGCGGCGAGGATCGCCTCGCGGCGCGCTTCGAGTTTGTCCGCCGCGACGAGCCGCGCGGCGACCGCGCGGAGCGTCGTCTCGTCCATCCCGCCGGTGCGCTCCTTGCGGTACCGCGCGATGAACGGCACCGTGTGCTCGTCGTCCATGAGCGCGACCGCGTCGCGGACGTGACGCGGCGCGAGGCCGAGCTCCGCGGCGAGCGCGGCGGTGAAGCGATCGCGCGCTGATGAGTCCGCATCTCGCGGCGGCGTCGGCGTCGCCGTCGTCGCCGTCGTCGCCGCCGTCGCCGTCGTCGCCTTCGCGCGCTTCGCGGGGTGATGGCCGCCGCCGCCGCTCGGGCGCGACGTCATCGATGTCCTCGCGTCGTCGAGAGCGCCGCAGACGGGCGCGAGGGGATGGCGCGACGTCGCCGCGAACGCCCTCGAGACGTGCGTGCGGCGAGTCCACGGCTGACGATGCTCCGGGGGCGGCGTCGCCGTCGCCCCGGACGGCGCGCGATGCGACGCGGCGGGGATCGATCCTCGCGCGATCGATGTCAACCTCCTCGCGAGAGCGCCCGCGCGCATAAGCTCCTCCACCGCCGCCGCGCGCTCGCCTCTGAGAGGTCCGCGCCCGCTTCCGACGTCGTTCTCGTCCTTCCACTCGTTGTTCACTTTTTTCCAGAAAAGCAACAACAAGTCGAGCACTTCTCGCCGCCGCGAGGACGTGCGTGGCGTCGGTCCCACCATGGTCGAGCCCCTGTCCGACATGGCGTTCGCCGAGCTCCGCCTCCGCGACCTCGCCGAGACCCCGCCCGAGGTCCTCGATCATCACTTCGAGGCTTGGTTCGCCAGCCGTCTCGACGCGTCGGGGGTGAACCTCCCGGTCGACGTCGTGTCTTCGTTGAAGAAAGCCGCGAAAGCCGCGTTGCTCTCCCCTTGGAGCTCGATTCTATATATCGATGAAACCATCGATTCCCCCCGAAGAACCCCGTACCCGTGGATCGACGTCGACGCGCCCTTCGCAGGATCCGGCGAGTACAGCTGCCGGGTGAGCGTCACGACGACGTGGCTGGGCCTCGAGTGCGAGTTTCAAAAATCGACCCCTCACGCACAAGACAAGCGGCTCATTAAGGTCAGACGCCCAGTAGTAGACCAGAACACTCCCACTGGGGATGTCCGCGTGTTCACGACAGAGCGCTGTCGAACGTACGTCGAAGCATCGAAGGGTTCAAGAGGGTATAAACCGTCTTGGCCGTGGGACATCAGGTATTGCGACGCCTGCGGCGTGGAGAACAACGTTCCAGGCGGATGGTCGAATGGAAGGTACTGCATGCAGTGCCTCGATTGGGGCGCTTGCCCTGAAGATCCCGACGGAGACTACACACGGGATCCGTACAACGACTGAGTGACGTGCGCTTACTGTACGTCGTCATCGTCGTCGTCGTCGTCGTCGATACGAGTACGAATACATCTACGTCATCAGGGTCGCGCGTCGTCGTTCTCTCTTCCCACCCCCACCCCGCGCTCTTCGTCCCCCTCCGCCCCCCCGACCTTCCTCCCCTCCGGCCCGCACACCGCGCACGTCGCGGGAAACACCACGCACGCCTGCACGAGCGCCGCGGTCAGCGTCCACGTGATGAACAACCCGAACTTCGTGAAAAAAGTCACCGTGCACCCGAGCAAAAACAAAGCCGCGCCAACCGTCGTGCTGCACCCGGACGCCACGCTCCGCGTGACCGCGGTGAGCGCGCCGCGCGCTCTCGTCTTCATGCACCCGTCCTCGATCCTGACGTACGCCCCGGCGACGTGCAGGATGTAATCCAAGGATAAGCCGACGAGGACCATCGTGCAGACAGCCTCCACGACGCCGACGCTCCAGCCGCGGAGGACGGCGAAGGCGAGAAACGTCGTCGCGACGTGGCCGACGGAGACGGTCGCGAGCGCGGCGAGACGCGCGGATCGAGACGCGCCGTATAACACGCCGAACGCGAACGCGAGGGAGAAGGCGAGCGCGCTCCACGCCGCGGTCACGACCTCGCGTTCCGTGGAGACGCGGATCCACGTCTCGGAGGTCTGGAATCCGCCTCTGAGGCCGACGGGCGCCGTCTCGAGCGCGGCGCGGAACCAACGCTCCCAAAACGCAGCCTCGCGCGTGAGCGTCTCCGCGCTCGTTCGCAGCGCGGACGCGCGGAGAACCGCGTGGATGGAAACGCTCGCGACGTGTCCGTTTTCGGTCTCGTTCTTCCGGAACCACCGTATCTGCCTCGCGTACGCGCGCGCGTCGTCGAGCTCGTACGTCGCGAGCGCGGCGCGAAACGCGTCGCGCGGGAGCGGCAACGCCGCGCCGCCGCCGGACAACGCGACGACGCGCGCGTTCACGTCCTCGATGAAGCAGTCCACGTTCGCGCCAACCGACGGGTCCGCGAGCCGCGCGGACGTTTCCTCCGAGCGCCGCAGCGCGTCGCAGAAGGAGAGCAGCCACGCCTGCGACGCCTCGGGCTCGACGTCGAAGCCGGCGTCGAGCGTCGGGTCTTGCTCGCGTTTGTTCAGCGCGCCGGGCGTTTCAAACTCGCTCGCGGCCATCTTCGCGGCGATCGCGAGCCGCTTCGGCGCGAACGGGTGACGACTCTCCGATTCCATCTCCTCCGCGGACGCGTACGAGTCCGGGGCGTCTTCGAGCCCCCACACG